TTTTTCCTCATTCTGGGGTTTCACAGTTAAGGAAGTAAAATTAAACAGTTTGATGAAATGTCAATCTCAGAATAAAAAACTTGGGGCACCTGGGTGGCTCAGTGGTTGAACATCTGCCTTCAGCTCAGGTGGTGATCCCAGAATCCTGGGATTGAGTCCCACATTGGGCTCCCCACAGGGAACCTGCTTCTCCCTCTGCCTGTGTCTCTGCCCCTCTCTCTGTGTCTCTCATGAATAAATAAATCTTAAAAAAAAAAAAAAAAGTTACAAAACTTTAAGAATTATTTAAGAATTGACTTTGTGGGGTGCCTGGGTGACTCAATTAGTTAAATGTCTGAATTGGTCTCAAGTCATGATCTCAGGATCTTGGAATCAAGCCCCACATCAGGCTCCCCACTCAGCCAGGATTCTGCTTGTCTCTCTCCCCCTTCCCCCTCCCCCCCAACCACTTGTTCTCTATCTCTCTCAACCATGCGGCCAGTTGAGACTGGTTCAATTGTGGTCCTCTAGGGGTGTCTGGGTGGCTCAGTGGAGCATGTGACTCTTGATCTAGGGGTTTTGAGTTCAAGCCCCATGTTGGGTGTAGAAATTACTTAAAAATAAAATCTTTTAAAAAAGTTGTGGTTCTCGGGATCCCTGGGTGGCGCAGCGGTTTGGTGCCTGCCTTTGGCCCAGGGCGCGATCCTGGAGACCCGGGATCGAATCCCACATCGGGCTCCCGGTGCATGGAGCCTGCTTCTCCCTCTGCCTGTGTCTCTGCCTCTCTCTCTCTCATTCTATGTGACTATCATAAATAAATAAAAATTAAAAAAAAAAAAAAGTTGTGGTTCTCTAGACAATTTGATATTCCTCATGTTGCCTGTGGGAAAATCCCAGCAGAAAATTGCATTGGATCAACCCCTGAGACTAGTGAAGAAAAGGGCTGCCTCGGCCTTGCACCAGTAGTGAGAGATCATTGATAGTTTCAAAAGAATAAATGTTGGTTTCAAGCCATTAAATCTATTGGAAGGAAAACTCTTAGGGAAAAGGCACTTTTTCTAAACAGGTTGCTTCCTAGGAACAAAGACAAACATAAACCAAAGGGAAAAAATTTGAACTTGAAATTTGAGCTTGAAAAAAAAAATTTATATGGTTAATTTTGTTTCTAGGATTCCAAGCTTTCTGCATCCTGAGATATTTTCATTTATCCAACAAACACTTATCGAATACAAGTTACGCACCTGGCTATGTGCTGAGACTTCAGCAGTAAAGAAGATGGACATGGTTACTGTCCCCCCATAAACCTGAGAATCAATTGGGGGAAGACAGAACTAATAAACCATTATTACTTGAGTGATTAGTACTACAAAGAAGAAATTCAAGGATCCATGGAAAGGTTCAACAGACACCTGACCCAATGCATGTGGTGAGGGGAGGATATTCTGAAACATCCATATTTTCACTGGGATGAGTAGGGGTTGGTCAGCTAAACGGGAGGTGGTCAGGAACAGCATCGATATGTACCCCTAAAGTAAAAACATTCCCTCAAAGAACTCAAATCCAGTAAGAAAACAGCAAAAGAGGCATTTTCTTGTCTGTTCTCTGAAGACTTGGAAGCAAGTGTTATTAAGCTAGACTTGCTATTAGTACACAATGGAAAGTAGAGCTTCAGACCCTTTTCTCTAGAAATTTTGGGACTTAAGCTTTCTGGGTCACCTAGGGAGACATCACTTATCTCCCTTACAGGATTAGCTTTCAAAGCACTTAAAACATCAATTAAAGTGTTTTGAAAATGGTCCTATTAAAATAGTACCAGTTGTTAGTACTGCTCCTTACCTTGAGTACTCTAATTGCAGGGCTGTGTATCTGATTATGGCATATGATCTTACAGTTTAAAGCTGTGGCTCCTTCTAGTAGTAGAAAGAAACCAGTGAAAGTCAGGCTTTGGAGAAGGTTGCTGCTGTTTTAATATGCCAGACCTCCTTCATTTTCCTCAAGTGTCATATAGTCAAGGAAGTTTCATCTGTTAATGACAGGGAAGTGAAGCAATCATTAATAGAAGTTACAGACTCCCTGCCCCGCACAGGAACTGACTCATGTATTTTTCACATGAAACCATGGAGTTTTAGGGAGAACCAGAAACTCAGAAACCTGTTTCCTTACCAGGAAAAGTCATCATCATCTCATGGGTTTTTATTACGATTAGCCACAAAGCATGATGTTCTTTCTTGGTTTTTACGAATTTCTTCTTAAGCATTTTTTCTGGGAGGCATCACGGACGTCAGAATTGGTGTTCATTATAACTTTCGTTTTTAACTTTTGAATTGGGTGAAGTAGTGCTTTCAAACTTTTTAGCCAATGGTTAAGTCTTGGTTCATTCTGCATTGCTCAAGAAAGATCACCAGGGTCAGGAAGGGCAATCTTATGAAGAAATCCTCTGTAAGGTAAATTCCTTGCAGGTACTTAGAATTTCTAGAGAAGTACAACTCTTTCCAGCTCTCACCTGCATTATTTAGCTGCCCAAGTTCTCATAAGCTCAGGACCATCCATCCTAAAGCATATGATCTCTACATGTTACCCCTCCCCCTTGGGTTAGAAATGGGTCCTGTTTCATAGGGCAGTGAGCAGCCTACTTCCCCATCCTGATGAGCCTGTTTGAGGAAAACCACTCATAATGAGGTGTCCCAGTGCCTGGCCCTGCTACTCACTTACCAAATCTGTCCCTGTCTTCCCAGCCTACCCTTTGTTAAAGAGTGTATTTATTCTCTAAAATCTGACTAATCAGAATCATGTCATAGTTTAACTCTATCTTCCCTGAATTTCTTTTAGATGTAGAAGTAAATAGTGAACACATAGGCTAAAGTTTTTGCATAAGCAAAATGACAACAAAAACACCTAATGTCCAACATTAGGACATTAGCAGAATAGACAAGTATATCAGGATATCTTCATACAGTGGGCTAAATTACAATATTTAGAATATATGAGCTAGAGCTATATATAACAACATAAATATACATGCGCAAAAAAGCAAGTTGCAGAAGAACATAATACCTTTTATATAGAGACAACCCTTGAACAACATGGGTTTGAACCGTGCAGGTCCACTTGTACAAAGATTACGTGAGATAAATACAGAACACTGTAAGTGTATTTTCCTCATGATTTACTTAATGATATTTTCTTTTCTCTAGCTTATTTCATTGTAAGAATATAGCATATAATACATATATATGTGTGTGTGTGTGTGTGTTCACTGCTTATGTTATCAAGTAGACTTCGTCTCAACAGTAAGCTAGTAGTAAAGTTTTTGAGGGAGTCAAAAATTAATCACAGATTTTTGTGTAGTGGTCAGTGTTCCTAAGCCCCATTGTTGTTCAAGGGTCTATATAAGATTTGTAAACTTGCAAATAAATAAATAAATAAGATTTGTAAACTTGCTAAGCAATACTATGTAATGTGTGTAAAGCTATGTGTGAGAAGCTAAATAACAAGTTCTGAATGGTGGTTCATTCTAGGAGAGAGCTAGGGGAATTTGACTGGAAGGGTATATACATATATAATGTATTCCTTAAGCTTCATTGTGAATATATGGCTGTTAATATTCTCTATATCTTTTTGTATACCTAAATATTTCATAATAAAAATAAAACTAATTTTTTTTCCAGGAATTTAATCTTTAAAAATACAATTAGCAGGGCGCCCAGGTGGCTTAGTTGGTTAAGTGTCTGCCTTCAGCTCAGGTCATTGTCCGGGACTCCTGGGATCGAGCTGCTTCTCTCTGCTTGTGCTCTCTCTCTCATAAATAAATTTAAAAACTTAAAAAGAAAATTGCAGTTAACTCTAGGGAATATACTTAGGTCAGGACTCATTTAGCTAAGTCCTCTGAAATTAAAATTCATTTTTCAGAGTAAAAACCCAAAGAGGCCACAAGCTCTTCAATCATCAGAAAGATTTTCAGTTGTCCTTACTGTGTGGTTCTTAGGTAGACAAGGAAGCAGACCAACAATTTTGAGAAATCTTTTCAACAAAGTTATGATGAACCAAAAGAGAAGGTGCAACCTGGCAACCTCTGGGTGGAATGGAGCCTGCAGGACCATTTTGTTTGGCCTTCTTGGTACTCACACTTTCAAAAAGAATGAATTAATGTCTTTTTTGAGATTTCACACTTGAGAAATCTGGATTGCTACCTATTATTAAAGTATCTGGAAATCTGGCATTCCTATGCCCTCATTTATTTTTTTTTTAAGATTTTATTTATTCATTATTTTAGAGAGTTGTGGGGAGGGGCAGAGGGATAAGAGAGAAAGAATCCCAAGCAGACTCTGCACTGAGCACAGAGCCCAACATGGGGATTGATCCCATGACCCTAAGATCATGACCCAAGCCAGAATCAAGAGTTGGACGCCCAACTGACTGAGCCACCCAGGAGCTGCCCTAGGCCCTCATTTCTATGTGGCAGCAGCTGCCTGGAGCTGAGTAGCAACTATCCTTTTTCAGGGGGTTACATCCTTTCCATCTGGCTATTGTCCCCACCCAACCAGGCTTCCTCATTTTATCTGCAAGCCCCAAGGGTGCTTAAATTTACAACCCCTGCATTAAATTCAAGTTACTGAACCAGAATATTTAGTTATTCAAAATGTGCCTTTTCCAGGCATTCTGATGAGTATTGTAGTTTTACAAAAATACACACTAAAAGCATCTTCCTATGTTAGTCTGGTAAGGAATTTGCGGCTTTTAAGTATAGCACAATTGAATTTTGGTTTACTGTGTTTGTAAACATGGCCGTCATGGCAAACATTAACTCTCAACCATGGGATGATATGCAAAGACAGCTGGGAGATAGCTGGTATTCCTACAGCACCATTCTGGCAATGCTACTAAACAGATCTGTTGAGAAAGAGCAATTATTTCTAGACTAATTAAAGAGTTTGATTAAAAAAATGTACATCTGCCTAGCTGCCTACTGTCAAATTGAATTTTCATGCAAATTTTCCCTTTTCTATTTTGGTGGGTCTGAGGATGACAACAGCAACACGACAAGAAGTTCTTGGCCTCTACCGCAGAATTTTCAGGCTTGTGAGGAAATGGCAGGCAGCATCAGGGCAGATGGAAGACACCATTAAAGAAAAACAGTACATATTAAATGAAGCCAGAACACTGTTCCAGAAAAACAAAAACGTAAGTAAACCCTAACTGGAGATTGTAAGGAGGAGGGCAGTTTCTTATGACGTTTGTTCTTTTTCTTCCGAAAATTGAGAGGACTGAGCAGTATAGGTCACAGTGGTAGAGTGTGGGGCAGAAAGGGCCCAGAGGCACAGCGCACTAGCTTGCTCAACCACTGGGAAGCAGAGCCCAGTCTGGGTTTCTCTCTTCATTTGTTTCAGGTCTCAAATGGCTCTGTGCCCTTGGAGGACACCATGAGCCAGGTGACACGAGTCAGGCCACTGAGGTCTTTCAGGGTTCTTCACACACTTGTGCCTGTCACCAGCTCTTCCAGCAGGAGGTGTGCAGTTAAACTTTTTTTTTTTTCCAATTCATATACTATTCAAGGCCTCCAAGTATAAACTCATTCAGAGGGAAGAGAATAGGATTAAGATACAGGGCTCCCTTCATAACTTCTCTTTGAACTCAAGCCTCTTTGGCTAGAAGAGTGATTTGCCCTTTGGGAGCACAGAATTGGGTAAGATAGTGCCTCTACTAGCTAGTTTAACGGAACTGCACACCCAGACACCAGGGAGCCAAGGACCATTTGTAAGAGGCTTGATTTGACCCATCTCAATAAACTATAAAGCATCAGCTATTAGCTTCTTATGAAGACTGCCTGGCACTAAGCACGGAAAGAGACTCTTAGCTTCTGACTTTTCTTGCCTTCTTATTGATCTCACAAAATCAATGCTGTTACTGTTCCCCTCATGAAATCTCCTGACCGTCTATTCTCTTTTCCCTCTCTGACCCCTGTTTCTGTGTCCCTTTTGGCCGTGTCTTCTCCACACACCCTTCCGCCCACTGTAAGGAGCCTCTGAAAGTCAGCCTTCTGTGCTGAGGCCCATGCATCCACTTTAGGATTCCTGCCCCCCATATCTGAATACCCAGCCTCAGGCTCTCATCTGCCACCTGAAAAAGCTCACAACAGGCATGATGATCCTAAGCAGAACTCATCTTTCTGCAAAAACACCTCCCTTTCCAGCCTGCCTATTTCTGCTATTGCTCCTGTCACCACTCCGCAGCTGTTTGCTCTCATTCTTTCATTCAGCAAGTATTTGTGTGCCCACCATGTGCCAAACACTGGTCTAGACATTGAGGATATAAAATGAGCAAAACCAAGACAGGATCCCTCAACGATGTTTCAGAGTTAAATAGTAAGAAATGTAAAATTGCAGTTGGGGTAAGTTCTATCAAAGAAACGCTCCCAACCTACAGTACCTTCTCCTCAGAATGCCTGAGGCCTCCTTGCTAAAAAAATCAACCTGCTTCTCTGCCTTTCTGACCTGCCTCCAGCATCTCCACACTTTTTGTGCCACACACCAGAGTATATTAAAAATGTCTATTTTATTTTTTTAAAGATTTTTTGTATTTATTAGAGAGAGATAGACTGAGAGCACAAGCAGGGGGAGCAGCAGAGCGAGAGGGAGAAACAGGCTCCCTGAGCAGGGAGCCCAATGTGGGGCTCAATCCCAGGTCCCTGGGGCCATGACCCAAGCCGAAGGCAGATGCTTAAATGGACTGAGCCATCCAGGTGCTCCTATTTTATGTATTTTTATGAGCTTATTGGTACATTTAATGAACTTACTAATATATTTATAAATCAATATGAGTACATAAATGGGAGCTGTGGGCTCAGAAATTTTTTATTGAGAGTAGATAATCTGAGCACCTGGGTGGCTCACTGGTTGGGCATCTCATCTGATTTGGCTTAGGGCATGATCCCAAGGTCCTGGGATTGAGTCCCACATTGGGCTCCCCACAGGGAGCCTGCTTCTCCCTCGCCTGTGTCTTTGCCTCTATGTGTGTCCTCTCATGAATAAATAAATAAAATCTTTAAAAAAAAAAAAAGTAGATCATCAAAAAGTTGGGAGACCACTAACCTATGCCTTCCCCTAAGTAGTTGGTCACATTTTTTCTTATTTCATTTATGTTGGTGTGGTCTCCCCAACCAGATTATCAGTTCCTTGAGCACACAGACAATGTCTTATACTTTCTTGTATACCCCATAGGACCTACCTTGTGGTTGTCACTAAATTCATGAGCATTTAAAAATTCTTTGGCTTAACTTACCTTCTCCAGGAAGTCTTCCTCAACTTCTCTGCCTTCACTCAACCCTGTGGCAGAAACCTTTTCTGAATTCCTGTGTAGCCATCTACAGTAGTCATTGCCCTGTGAATTACATGCCTCCATGCTTTTTCTGGAGCTTTATGCATCAGAGTTTTTCTGCCTGGTTAGTTGAGGACAGGGACCATGGCCTCACCGTGTCTAGCCCGGTGCTGCGGGTATCATAGCAGGATGTACCCAGTAAATCTTTTCAGGCTCATTTATGTGAGGACTTCTCAAAACTCTTTGGGTTTTCAGTTATGGCAGTAATCAAGCTTTGCTTTGCCTCTGCTTGAACTGGCCCAGTGTGGTATGAGCCGTAGGGAAGTGTATGTGCCAGTGATGCTACATGAGTGAGATGATTTTGTTATGCCTGGGGAGGAGGTATATGAGTCTTTAATTTTAAAATGTGTACTTGTTTTGCCATGTATTAGAAAGATAATAAAATATCAGATGATTTTACAAATACTATGCTTAGGAGAAAGCATAATATTCAAAGAAAAAGTTTAATATGAGTATAAATGGTGTGTGGATCTAGCAGAATCATGAAAGCAGCCTCTAAATGACTGAATTTGGAGAACTGTAACCCAGACTTATTCAGATGGACAGCTGGAGTCCTAGGGCCCCTCAGCCCCCTTAACCACACATATCTTTATCAGGGGCTTCTTTCTCCCCAGTCCCTTATGCAGATAGAAGTTGTTTCTTGGAACTTCACTTGCTTGTAAGAGCTTAATAATAATCCAAAAGTATCTCATGAATTGCTCTGAATCCTAATGGCAAATGGGAACATGGAAATCTATTCCTGATGTGGACATCAGAGCAACAGATTCTGAGAAGCCCAGAGGTCAGAAAGCTGAGCCTCTGCCCCAAGGGACCCAACTCAAGTTCTGTGCATTGCAGTTCCTAGAACCTTCTCTGCTCCAAAAGGTACCATAGGACAGGCACGCCCTTGGAATTTCCAAGCCTCACTGGCCCAGATGTCACTGTGGGTGTCATCTGGAACTGGTGCAATCCCAGGTCTGCTTTGAGGCCTACTTGCAAACTCAGCAGAGCCATGTGTCAACTCATTTTCCGTCCTTGGAAAGAAAGGGTTTCTGTGCTTCTACCTGGTATTCTGTTTTTTGGAATGAACTTGTGATTTCTTTACTTGAAACTGGACTACCATAATTTTACTAGTTGGGAATTTAAAAAGCTATTTCTTCCCCTTACCAATGAGCAAGGAAGTTTATAGTTCAAAAGAAGAGGTGGATCATTCTCTGATATCTTACTTAGGGAGCTTCTAGACAGCATTTGCTAAAACAATTCAGTTAAAGTTTGGTCAACATGGGGAGGACGTGAAGAAGCATTCTCATTCAGTGTTGGTGGGAATATAAATTGGTACAATCTCTTAGAGGGTAATTTGAATCTAGAGGGAATATCTGTAAGAATTCAAAATGCATGAACATATACCCTTTGACCCTGCATTTTCCAGCAATTTATCTTTTAGATATATTTGCATGTAAGCCAAAAACGATTTTAGAGGGATCCATAATAAAATTGTTTATAATGGCAAAAGACTGGAAATAACCTAAATGTCCATCAGAAAAAGATTGGTTAAATTATAACACGGCTTTATGTTGGAGTTTTGTGCATCTATTAAAAAGAATGGGCATCTCTCTGTAAATCTAGAAGGAGCTTCAAGTTGTTAGGGGGAAAAGCAAGGGTCAAAACAAAGTGAGCTATAATTTGTTTAAGGAAAAAAACCAAAATATATATATTTAGGCTTATATCTACATAGAATATCCCTGGAAGGACAAGAAAGAAATTACTAACAACTATTGTCTTTGAGAAGGGGAACTGTGACAGAGATTAAAGGAAGACTTCGTTTTTAAATCTTTTTGTATTATTTGAAAAATGTTTTACTATGTGTTCATATTACCCTATTAAATAATTTTTTTAAAGTTTAAAATCCACAGTAAATTTTATGTTAAATTGCTTTTGATTTTTCAAATTATCAACATTTCATTTACTGGCTGGTGAACTGAGAAAGTTGAAGATGTACACCTCTACATAAGGAGCATTAGAAAGATGCTAAGAATCTTACCCATTTTCCTCTTTTAATAGCTCACAGACACAGACCTGATTAAACAGTGTATAGATGAATGCACAGCCAGGATTGAAATTGGACTACATTACCAGATTCCTTATCCAAGGCCAGTAAGTGTGACTCCAGTTAATTTGTAGTAGGTACTTATCCTCACCAACCCAGTTATTTCCAAGAACGTATACCAAGAGGGCTAGTGTTTGCCGAGAAGCCTAGAGCTTCTGTAGCAGGCATGTTGGAAGTAAGCTATCTTTTGCATGCCCCCAACCCATCACAACAAACTAAAATGCCAATTGATGCCTGATTTCTCATACTCTTACAACTTTCCCACATGTAGAAGGGAATGCTAGCTTATATTTATTTATATAGCTTTCTCTTTTTGACTTTCATCTATTTTATGGAAATAATTTTATTTTCCTTATAATGAAGGACAGATTTGTTGTTAATAGCATTAAAGGGAAGTGCATGAGGTGGAAAGTGAAAATGGTCCAAAATTCTCACCCTATGGAAGTTAGCACTGTACCAGTTAGGCCATATGAAATTCTGTGTCCTACTCTTGACCTAGAAAAACAACAATTTTATACTGTACCGGCTCAACCTAATTTGGGCAATATATCCTTTGTCTTTGTTTCTATATTTGTGTACATACATTTTCTTAATGTACATGGAATACTGGGCATACTGTTTGCTGCTTGCTTAGTTTACTTCATCTGTTCTGGTCATTTCTGCTTCCCATCTTTTTATTTTTTTATTTATTTTTTTTAATTTTTTTTTTATTTATTTATGATAGTCACAGAGAGAGAGAGAGAGGCAGAGACATAGGCAGAGGGAGAAGCAGGCTCCATGCACCGGGAGCCCGATGTGGGATTCGATCCCGGGTCTCCAGGATCACGCCCTGGGCCAAAGGCAGGCACCAAACCGCTGCGCCACCCAGGGATCCCTGCTTCCCATCTTTTTAAATGGTTGCTGCTGTATCCTGTTACAAGAATGTGCCATAATTTACCCAGCAGCCATTTAGTAGACATTTAGATTGGTCCCAGTTTCTTACTATAGCTTTGTATACACAAACTTTTTTTCTTTTCTTCTTTGGAGTCTCATCTCATCATGTGATCTGTAGTCATTTTTCCCTCCATGGAGGCAGTATGAAAGAGCACAAGCTCTGGAATCAGATCTGGGTTCAAATCCTGGTTCTACCACTTAAAGTACAAGTAGCTTGAGGTATTTAACTTGTGAGCCTCCATTTCTCATCTATAGACATTATCTAATTCCTTATGAGATTATTGTAAGGATTAATGTGTATGAGGACTTAAAGGATTAATGAATCAGTGTAGACTTAGTGCTTAGCAGAGAGCATGGTACCTAGTAAAATCTCAATGAGTATAAGCTGCTGTAATGATTATCATTCTTAATATTATCATTATTCTTATTCTCATTATTCAGATTCATCTGCCTCCAATGGGCCTTACCCCACTACGAGGCCGGGGACTTCGAAGCCAGGAAAAACTGAGGAAATTTTCCAAACCAGTATATCTCAAGTCTCATGATGAGATTTCCTAACCCAGAAGAAAATGTGTTTCTCAGAATGATGAGCCAACTAGGTCTTGAATGTAAACCAGATGACAAAACCCTTCTGCTTGATTAGGGGCAAAAATTTAAGTATCTTCTTAAAAACCTCAAAAATATTGGTATTCACCCCATGATCTGTGCTCACACATCTTTACAGTTCATCAGAGTCTTGTTGCCTACATGGATGACACTAACCCTAGAGCTTACACCCTCACTGAAGCATCATTTGGAAACAAGACTAAGGCCTGTAAAAAGAAAGACAAGGATGACAAAGCTTTTTCATGGAAATGCCATTTGCCAAACATGCCAGCTGATATGAAGAAATTAGCCAGTTGCTGGAAGTTCTCATAGCAACTATAAAACTATATACCACCTTCAGAATATTTTTAGGCTTTTTTCCCCAGAGTTTTTGCTTAAAACACAAAGGCTTGCTTGAAAGTGGGTTTCTTTGTGTATGTTCTATTATCTTTTGACCTTCCCAGTTCCCAGATAAACTTCTCATTGGAGTGCCTCATTGCAGATGCCTGGGTGGCTCCGTTGGTTAAGCATCTGAATGATTTCAGCTCAGGTTCTGATTCCAAGGTCTTGGGAGCCCTGTGTTGGGTTCCTCTCTCAGCAGGAACCTGCTTGTGGATTCTCTCTCTCCCTCTTTCCCCTCCCCCTGCTTGTGCTTTCTCTAAGATAAATAAATCTTTTTTTTCTTAAGTGCATCATTGGATTGATTGTATTGTTTCATGGAAATTTTACTTGAGACCCATCCCTTCCCCCAACATACACAAAAGTAGTTGTGTTAAATAAATGCATATATGTTTACTTTATCTTAAGGCCTGTCATAAGGATGCACATAGGATCTGAAAGGCTCACTTGAAACCCATACTGCATTATAAGTATTTTATCTTAACATTAGAAAGTACAAGGGCCAACCCAGCCTTCATTAGAAACAACATTAGAAAGTACAAGGGCCAAACAGCCTTAGCCTGTTTATGTCTAAACAGAAATGCTACAAAGAGAAATCAAAATATAAAAGATTTATACCCCTGCATGTGTGGAGTCCCATGGCAAGTCATGTGTACCTCATTATTATTTCCTTTTGACCTCCAAAGAGAATGAGCATCACCAATAAAGACAAACCTATATCAATTTTGGTCTTTCTCTATTCTTTTCCAAAATGGCTTTGTGACCCTCAGAAGCAGCAGATATAACTTCCTGCCCATACCTAAATGTAAGAATCCCTTGTCACCCAGATCCTTTCAGTCAAAGTAAACATTATATTTCAATCCCAAAACCTGCACCTGTGAGCAAAAGCATACACTTTCATGCTGAGGGTAAGTACTACAGAGTTTGGCAATGACATGGAGAACAAACATATCAGCTGTGGCACTAGCATATGCATATTGAACACAGTTGTACTACAGGCCTTTGGTGAAGAGAGACGAGAAATTTAAATGTGCTGACAGATGTGTTGGCCATTGAGTAAGCATAAACCCTAGACTTGCTTGAATTGGGAAACATGAATCTGCTGTTCTATCACTCTCCTTCAAATCTGGTCTCACTGTGGAAGCGTACCCTGCTCAGATGTGGTTCTAGCGTTTAAGCATTTTCTCATGAAACATAGGGCCTATGAAATCAAGTACTTATCTGATGATCAACCATTGAAACAGTGATCTGTTCTTGCATTGGAGGAAAAACTGGCTCTGCTGGACCAAGTGAGACATGGCTTGCCTTTCTCTTTCCTGGTCCCTTTCTAAGTAATTCAAGGTGATTTTGACTGTGCAACCTTTGCCTTTAACTCTGTCAAAGTGTAGAAACCACCCTTCCCACCCAACCTCTTCCAAAATGGAAGTCCACCTAATTGTTAGCCTCCTGAGTGTCTTCTATGTGCCAGGAATCTTACCTAAATGTGCATTTTATATGCCTAGCCTCCTTTGCAAAGATGTATATTCTAATACACAGAAACATAATTGTCAATTTACTGTCAAAACTTCCATATAAGTTATGTTTATAATAGCTTCTTTTTCCTCCCATCATCTTTGGTCTTTTTTTTTTTTTTTTTTCATCTTTGGTCTTTTAAAAGCAGAACTTCTCTTCCCTATGTCCCCTCTTTCAATGAAATTTTCTTCCAACACTGACAAGGACTGAAAACTATTTACCCAACTAGATTTTTAAAGAGCAAAGACTAGCTTGGTGACAATGTTTGTCTGACGTTATCTTCTGAGCTATTTATAGGCAGGACCTGCAGCTTCTCACCAAGCTGATCTCTGGCCATCTCTGCCCCAGGACTCCAGCCTCTAACTCACCAGGATTTCTGAAGAACATACTGCTCTTTCCCAGGGGAAGACATTAATTACCACATTGGCCCTAGTAGAAAATGACCTCAAATTTAGGGCACTCTTTCTTTTCAAAGTGAAGGAAATTTTTTAAATTACAAAAATTTAATCCATCGTACAGAAACATTCTGTCCCTTGACCCCTGAGGAATGAAAGTCAGTCCCTGCCTCCCTCAGCTTTTTGTTGCTGAAGCTGGGGGTTAGATAATTAAAATTCAATTGTTCTCTTAGCAACCCCCTCACTGCCTTAAGGCTTACAATATGATTTAACCAGTCCAAGATTAAGGCATTTGGGATCCTGACCATCTTTCCATCTCACATGACTAACAATCTTACTTGGAATGATAATGGCAGTTCCAGCTCTCTATTCATTCTGATTTTCTCTCCCCCACTGGGGGTGTGGGGGGAGGGACTGTCTTTCTCAAAAAAATAACTAGTAAGCTACCTACATTGAGCTGAAAGAGACTGCTCCTCTTTGATGTTTCTTTATTACCTCCTGGCAAGATCTGAGGAACTGCCCTTTTGTACTTAATTTCTAGGATCAGATAATTTGCTAATCTCAGAATTCAAGGTTCTTAATCAGAATTTTATCAACTCCATGTTTCCATGAAAAGGTTTCTGGAACATGTTTGTTTGGTTCTCAGAAGCTTCCCACATTCAGGAAAAACAAAGACCCTGAGGTCATTTCTTCTAGTTGAAGAGGCAGAGAAACCAGCAGACACATTAGACTCATACAGCCTTATGTCTTTGCTCAACAATGAACTGGCCAGTGGAATGCCCTGAAGGAAGTCATTTAAAGCCAAAGCACTAAATGAAGGAGTTAGTTGAGAAGTAAATATATCAAGAAGGTGATGTTCATATGCCTCAGGACTCTCTTCTAGCTAGCCCTGGGGGGAAACAGTGTAAAAAAGAAATTTTTTGGACATAGGTGTTGCAGCCACACATTTAAGATTCTACATCATAACATAGTTATGAATAAGTCGTTGCCTGGGAGACAGCATGTGGCAGTGAAAAATGCATGGGTTCTAGAGCCAGACAGACCTTGCCTCAAAACCTGACTCTGCAATATGAAAGAGCTAGGTGATCTTAGGCAAGTTACATAATCTCCCTGAACCTCCAGAGGGAGAGACTGTTACGAACAAACAAGACATCTAAAAGCCGAGGCACACACACACACACAAATAAATAAATAAACAAAAGCCCAGGCACAACCCATGGCACACAGGAGGCATGCAACAAATACTGGTTCTCTCATGTCTCCTTTCTTCCTGAAATATCCATGCATCTATTGCAGACTAGTAGAGAAGTATTTGTGTCTCAGTTCTACCACTGATGAACTGTGGAACCTTGGGCTAGTTATTTTTCTAAGCCTCCATTTTTGCATCTCTAAAATGGCCATAATAATACCCTACAACACATAAGATTGTTGTGAAAAGTGTTTTTCAAATATATCAAAGCCTTAAAAAATGAAAGTAATTCTCTGAACCTGAGAGACTCTGATGTTAGTGCATAGAAACAGAATAGGAAAGAAGCAATTAAAACTTCAGTGGCAGTTATAGTGAAACCAACAGGAAAAAAACACAAAGGTACTTAGCCAAATGGCTAAAGATCTAGGTTGAAGAAAGAGTCCCACTGTCAGTATTCAAATCCAGGCTCCACTATTTTCGTAGCTTTCTGATTTGGAAGATCTTACTTACCTTCTCTGTATCATGATTTCTGCAGCCATAAAATGATGATAATAATAACCTACTTTATAGGGCTGCTCTGAAATACTGGCTCATAATAGCAAGTGCTCTATTAATATAACTGCCACCATCATCATCATACCATGTGCCTCTTACGAAAGGAAAGCTAGGTTGTGGTCGAGAATGAAATGCCTTTTATTTTCTGCATTGAGACAGATGCCATTAATTATCCAGCTGGCACAGAGAGGCCACCCCTCGGTTTATCCAGTGCTTCTGGGGCCTGTCTGTTGGTAGTTCAATGGAGAGCACATAATTGGTTGAGTGGCCTGTGGTGGAAAGGATGCCTCTTCGGGCACTTGTTTTGTAGACTGGACACACATAAATGTTCTGATGCAGAAACATTGCACTTTCCCCAGGTTTTAGCCAAATAATGGGCAATGGGTCATAGAGAATTTTGGGGAAAGACTCCCCAATCTGCATTGTTTTCCTGTCCCAGCGGGCGCCTTCTAAGAATAGGCCTTTTATGTAGGCCCCATCTTTTGGGCTACTCTCCATGACCGTTTCTTGTGTGGTTACCTGGAAGAGAGGAATCTTGTAAGTTCTTATGCTTTTTCCCTAAATGGGGCAGCATTAAGAGATTAGAAAATCTGCTATAATGTCTGCTTTTCCCAATAGGCATTTCCCAGGACACTGGGGTCTCTGTAATAATACTTCTGCCTTCACACATGGACCAAGTCTGATTCCTAGTCAGCATGGTGCCTTTATATATGGTGGGGATAGAGAATGCACTAATGTAGGAGTCCAGAGGCCACATTAAGTATAATTAGCTTAACAACCTTGCACAGTCCTTTCCCTTTCTGGATCTGGATACATAAAGTGAGGAGTTAGATTCAGACTCATGCTGGTAAAACAGTTCTCTGGTAGGGAGAAATAAAGCCTTGACTTGTAGTTTTTGTTATTTCTATGGTATACACGGTCAGTGGCAGCTATCAACTATGTAATAACCAGCAACAAACTGGCTATGGTGAATTGATATGAGCCAGCTCCAGCACACCACTGTTTAGATTCAGAGGTGGTAAAGTCAAATTCCTTCAGATAAGTACAGAAAATGGTCCAAGTATAGTAAAACAAGGAATGGTGGAGATTATGGGGAACCAGAGATCACAAAATCCATTTAAAATCAGTCAAATTCTAATTTTCTGTTATTGTGAATAAAATATTTTTCACATTTTTACTTCTAAGTACTTATTCCTAGAATAGGAAAAGGCTATTGATTTTTGTATATTTAACCAGTATCCAGCCACCATAACAGTATTCTGATACCTATTACCTATCAGTATTCTGATAGGTGTATTTCTAGAGTCTTTAGGATTTCTAATTATATAATAATTTCAACATCAAAAATATGGTTTTATTGTTTTTCTCCAATGTTTATCCCTGTTATTTTGTTACTATATTGCATTATTTTCAGCTTGATGATGTTTTCAAAGACAATCAATTTCATTCATAAACTAAATTAAGACCTAGACAACCAGTCTGCAACCTCCCAACAACAGGATCTTACTCCTTTCTCTCCATGTATGGACAGAGTGATATTTGATTACTGGATATTCTTTTGACTTCAAGCAAAAGACTACCCAAGACCATCCACATCTTTCCAAATTTATATACAGAGACAAAGACTTGGGAATCCTCTGAT